AGCACTCCGGGCCTGCAGTAGTCAAGGTGGGTGCAGAGGGCACAAGTTAGACCCGGGGGTGGCAGCAGAATGCTCCAGCTTTCTCAGTGGTGCTCATACTGTCAGCCACACGCGGTAAACGTCCCTAAAGCCAGAACAAGGGTCCCTGAGGTTTGGTTTCAGTTGCTGACTCTAGATATAGAACTCGTCTTCCCAGAGGGCTAGACCACAACTAGCAGTCTGTATAATCCTAATGGGCCTTGAGAAGCCATGGCCTTCTGTGAGCCTCCCCAAAATGCAGCAGTATGATGTAGGACCAAATACGAGTCCCACCACACCCATGCATTCTTAGTTTAGGACACAGGTACAAACCTAATGAGCTTTATTTAGCTTTATTGCTAAAAAGTAGGGGATCCTTAGTCCCGGAATACCAGTTCTTTAAACCGCTCCAGCAACAGCTACAAAGCTCATTGTGAGGAGATCCTGGCTACAGGAGGCTGAAACTGGTGGCGTTTGACAGGTTGCAGATGACAAGGCCACCTGCCTTCAGCAGCTTTTGTTCCCAGTTCTAGCCAGAAGCCTTGGGTCTGGTTCTTGCTTCTTGCTGGAGAATGAGATATCCTTGCAGGTCCCGGGGAAGGGAAAGCCAGTCGTGTGGCTTCCCTGTCCCTCCCTGGCTCTACTTGTCCTCAGAGTCTATCTCCAAACTCCCAAGTGGCAGAATCTTAGGTTTCCTCTTCCAAGTGAATCACCTGTAGCTGGCACCTGGGGTTAGCCTTTCTACCAGAACGTCCAGGGAGGCTGCAGCAGCTCAAAGGTGGGGATACTGGTGACATTGACTGGGATAGAGATGATGGCCCACGGCAGCCCATGCTGTTCCAGAGATCGTCGGATCATGTAGCTGGGAGGGCATGAAGAGCAGTCACTTTCTCAGCACCCCAACACTGCCCTCTGCCCGTTACTCTGGGAGCTTCCAGAACCTGAGAACTTTGGCCCTCTCACTGGGATACTCAAGACGGCCTGTGAGAAGGGACTGGTGATTGCCTTTGAACCTACCAAGTCATGCCACCCAGTTTAGTGTGGACAGCCGTAAGCAAAGAGCCCTCACCCATCTCGGCCCAGCAGGAAGAGGGCAGGAATGTCAGCTGTGCGTTGAGTACTATCCTGGATCATCTCCACGTAGAAACTGTCATTGTCCACGGCGTTGTCCGAGATGATCACAGCCCGCCCGCCATGCTCCTGCACCACCCTGGTCTTGGAGAGGAAGGAGCAGCCCCTGGAAGAGGTAGTGTTGAGACCAAAAGAAAAGCAGGTGCTAGCTGCCCCTCCCTCATCCTCTCTGGGAGGATGAAAGGACCATAGAGGACATGTATAGAGGGTCATCAGTACACAGCAGAAAGCAGACAAGACATTTCTTAAAGACCCAAAAAGGATGAATTTAAAGATCGACATTTCAAAGTACCATGAGCTGTGATCAGAATTTGCCCACCCCATGTGTCATGCCTGCCTACTCCTTACCCCCTTTCCACCAGAGCGATCTGGTCCTGGATGAAGAAGCCATTGCCGAGTTCCCCACAGGCCTCCGGAGGTTCAGCAGGGACGAGGTGAATCTGCTCATACCGCGTGTGCTGAAAAATGTTTGGACATTTGGACAAGTAAGAGTGTAAGAAAACATGGCTTTGAACGAGCTAACAATTCCTTCTTCCTGGTACCTCATAACGAGTGAAGGAAGGAAATGGGAGTGCTTTCCCTGTGGCTGAGGCCTTGAGTGCTTTAATTCTCACAAAGATCCATCTGATGACTCGACTTCACCCTGCCTTTCTGTGAGAGGGGAGCTGGTTACAACCCAGGCCAGGGGAAGTAGGCAGAAGGACAGAGAAAGCTGGTGCCCTTGGTTTCTCAGGTGTTTCCACCAATGAAGGCAGTCCCTCCCTGGCTTACAGTATGCAGCAGCTCTTGAGGGCACAGCTGGATTCCTTCCTGCCCTGTTCCAGCATAGAAGTGGGATGAGGGTCACCATGGCTCAGTGATGGCAAGAAGGCTGCTGAGGGTCAGAGATCTGAGCATCTTTGTACTTACAAATATACCACCAAAGTCCTTGGCAGGTGTGGCTGTGAAGATGTAGCGAATGTCCCCAGGACTCAGCACTTGGAAGTACAAGTAGTCATGGATGCGTAAGCCTAAAGGGAAGAGTGCAGATGAAAAGCCTCTTGGGAACAAGCTGGTTAGGGTTTAGATCACGGGGTTCCCTATGTCTTCAGCTGGGTGGACATCAACTGACTGGATCCTCTGGGAGCATTATTTTTAAAACAGGGTCTCACTATGTAGCCCTGGCTTGCCTCAAACTCACAGAGATCCACTTCTGCCTCCCTCCCAACCCCCAACTAGTGCTGAATTAAAGGTGTGCACTACCACACCCCTTTTTAAAATGGCCTCACATAGCCCAGGCTGGCTTTGAACTAGTTTTGTTTCCTTGGTGGGCCTTGAGTCCTTCTTCCTGACTGCCTCCCAAACATGATTACAGGCATGCATCACCACCCCCAGCTCGAGAGCTGGTTCCTGCACCGGACAGGACAGACTGGATACAAGAGATTTGTATTTGCCTGATCCTCCTGCCACAGCAGGTGAGCCACAAAGACCCAGAGCTCTTGAGTTAGCATCCATGGCTGCTCTGAAGACCCCAAGTTTCTAACCAGAGCTTACAAGTTAGCTCTGGTCTCACTGACATCTCCTAATCCAGGCACTGTCATCTCTTGTCCTGACTATTCAATCTTAACTGGTCTTGCTTCCATGTCTCCTTTTTCAGAAGGGTCTTGCTATGTTACCCAGACTGGTTTTCAACATTTGGGCTCAAGCAATCCTGCCTCAGGTTCCCATCTGTCTTCATTCTTTAATTTTCATTTCATTTTATGTATATGTGTGCTTTGGCCACATGTATATCCATGCACCATGTGTGTGCCTGGTGCCTGCAGCATCCAGAAAGAGAGTGTCAGCTCCCCGGAACTGGAGGGACAAGCAGTTGTGAGTGGGCCCTCTAGAAGAACAGCTAGTACCCTAACTGCTGAGCCATCTCTCGGCTCCCTCTCTCCATGCCCTCCTTACAGTCCTTAAGGTCCTCTAGCCACCCACTCACTGCCAGAGCCTCAGTGTCTCCTTCACTGACTAAAGCGTATGCTGCTGCTCACTGTGGTGTAGAAGGCCTTGCATGATCCGACTCCTACCCCCGCTCCAATCTTGTTTTCCTCTTTCCCAGGTTCAAGCTGAACTCGCTTTTCAGTGTTTCCATCTTTTGGGGTCTTCTTAAAAGTTTACCTGTCATTTCTCAGAAAGATGCTGCCTTGTCCCTTCCTATACCCATTCAAAATGTGTTCTTCCCACTGCTGCTTCCTCTGTAATTATGATGTATGTATAATATTCTATGTCTGCTTCTTCCACTAAAGCAATGATTCTAAGTTTGTGGCTTTACTCAGTGATGAATCCCCAGTGCCTAGGACACAGTGGCTGCTCAGCAAAGGTTACTGAATAAACAGACACCTGCCCTGTCCTGAACAAGAGAACTGCCAGAACCACCAGGATTTTAGGACAGAGACACTTTTCAGCATCGAAGTTTAATGATTTCCTGGGTTTTGAGTCCCTGGATTGCTTAAGTCCAGAGAGATGAGTGAATGTTGACGGATGGAAGCTGTTGCCTCAGGTCTGTTAATCAATTTAACGACCAAGCTATCACTGTGTGTGCTGTGGCTTCGACTGGCTGTGGTTATAGCTGTTCCTGTCTATGGTCCAAATCGCAGCCACCCAGACAGAGCTCAGGGAGCCTGCAGCTTTTTGTCCTGAGTGTAGATATACTCCATCAGATGGATACACCCCCAAGGAAGCCTTCTGGATTAACATGAGGCAACCCTTTTCACAAGCACACTCCTGTCTGGCGTTTGATGTGTTTCTCTCTTCGGTTATATATTCATGTGTTCACTTAGCGCGTAGGTGTGTACATTTATGTGCGAGTTGTGTAAGTGAGTGCCTGTGCGTGTGAGCCCACGTGTATGTTCCTGCCTGTATGAACGCTCACGTTTCTCCATTCTAGATCTCTAGCTGTCACCCGGGTCGCCCTCAGTGGGAGGAGGGCTGGAGGATCTTGCTCCGACGTGGGGAGCCTCTGGCTGCGCCTACTCATGGTCCCGGGGACCAGCACCCACCCACTGCGGCCGTCTGGTCGCAGAACCAGGTCGGCCCAAACTCCGCGGGGTCCCCAAGGTGACCCGTGGCCCCCGGCCCCAGCAGCGCGCACACTGGATGCCCACCCAGCCCGCCCTCCCGCCTGTCGCCGCTCACCGTGGGCCGCGACGCACGCGGGCAGCCAGAGCACGAGACAGCACCAGCCCGCGGCGCCACGGCTCATCTCCAGCGCCCGTCCCGCCGCCGCCGCCGTCCCGCCGCGCTCGCTAGCCGGACTTTAGCCTGACAGCTGCCCCGGCCTCCCCCAGGCCCGCTCTCGGCGCGGGTTGGAGCGCGGAACCGAGGCCGGCGGCTGATTGGCTGCCATGCCTGTTCGTGCGGCCGTACTTTCCGCCTCTGCTCCCTGGGCTACTTCCTATTGGCCAGGAGAAGTGGAGCCGGGAGCTGATTGGCCAAAACTCTTAATAGCAACTGCAGTTCGCAGCCCCGCCCCCGCGCTCCTCAGTATAGACGCGGCACCCGACCCGAGCGAGGGTGGGCGGCTCGCGGAGACAGACTTGCCGGATGCTCGGGCATCCTCACGGCCTGAGGCTGGCTTCGCGCTGGGGCCGCGCGCGACCTCACCCTTCTCAGGCCGCAGGGCGGTGCCTCGGCCGACAGGAGGCGCTGCAGAGATAGACGCCGCCCGGACAAGTTTCCCGCGCTCGGGGGCTCCGCACCTGTGACCCGGGACACCCCAACTTCCCAGGCTATCTGTGAAACGCACAGAGCTCCAACGCCACGGAGCTGTGTGGGTGCAGTGAGCTCGCTCACCTAAGGTGCTTCCCACAACCGGCGTTCAGTGTTGACATTTCATCGCTTGTCTACCATGGTATCCAGGGACGCGGGCCGAAGTGGGACCCGACTGCGCCCTCACAGTGCAAAAGCACGTCGGAGCTCGATGACCCCACCATAGCAAACACGAGCTCCTAGAGCGTCCCTGGGCCTCCGACTTCTCTAGCCGGCCACCTCGATTGTAGCTAACCATAGAGTGGCGGAAGTGGTCCGTCTCCTTCCTCTCCCGGGCCTACATCTAGCCAGAAGCGTCTGAGGATTCCTCCGGCGCGGAGCATTGTGGGCTTGGGTGGGCGGTTCCGAGGCCGAGAACAGACGAGTTGCGGGCCCCTGAAGCCGCTTCCAAGATGATGGTGAGTGGCTCCTTGCGTATCCGTTGCCATCCGCGGCCGTAGGGCCCCCGCCTTGCCGGGAGTCTGCAGAGGCCGGCTCCCACCCCTTGCCTGTGGGCGGCCGCGGCCCGGAACTGGAGCGGTTGACGAGAGCCGAATGGGGCTCGCGGCTCCACCGGGCCCGGAGACGACGGGTCCCACGGTGATTCAGGGCCGTTTCAGCCCCCTTCCCCGTACTGGAGACTTGGGTTTTCGGAACCGAGTGCGGGTTGGGAGTATGCTTCGCTGCCCTGGGAGGTGCAGAAGTAGAGGCCGAGCTTCTAGAGTGCTCAGAGGCAGCGGGAGGATCTTTGGGTTGGGCCGAGTGGCGCCCTGCATGGCACTGTGGTCGCTTGCGTTCCCGCATATACTCAGCCCGGCTGCCGCATGCGGGGAAAACAGACTCCTTCATTCCTGTTGGAACCGTTTGTTTGCTCAGTCGTTCAGCGGGTGCATTCTTAATGTCTCCTGAATGTACAGGCCCAGCTTCATGCTGCGTAGGGGCAGCAGTTGAGGTACACAGCAACAGGGATGGGAAGACCAGACTGCCTTAGGCAGGAGTCTCTTAAAGGTCTGCCTGTAGCGGTCCTTCATCAGACCTTCCCTGTGTATGATAAACCTCAGTTGTTAATGAGAGCAACGTCAACTTCAGATTCCTGTGCACTTGGCACCAGTTCACGCATTAATTTTTGCTTTTTGGTGTCAATCCTTTGCCCTTTGCAGCTTCTGGTCTCCACAGTCCACACTGACTGATGACCTGTATGGCCTTCTCCCTGTTACCAAATAAAAATGCTTTGTGATTGCAGCTCCTACTCAGTAGAAGGAACCCTTACAGAAGCGTGTCCATATTCCCCTAGCACCGTCCCTTTTCAAAGTCTATTTTCAACGTTACTAATTCTTCAAATTGATTTGGTTGGCAAGGACCAGCGCTGAGGTGTGTGCTACAGTAAAACATCAGGGCTGCAGGTGTGACCCAATGTATATCATTTGCATAGCATGGCCAAGGCCCTGAGATCCGAGCCCACTCAGCCCCCCCAAAAATAGCAAACCTTTTGTCAAAAGGCACAGACCACTACATTTGGGTTTTACCTGAATTGATTATTCTTGCCCTATCCACTTGGCTTGTTTGCCTTCTGGTTATCTCCTTTCTTAAAATGTGAGTCCACCATGCTGTTAACAGACTGGTCTCAGGTTGTCTGGTCTTTTATAGATCATCAGGTCTAACGGTAATGGCTTTTATTTTTTCGGGTACTGGAAATTGAACCTAAGGCCTCATTTGATTGTCTTACCACTTAACTATAGCCTGAGATTTTCCTCCCCTTTCCAAATTTTATTTATTTATGTATATTTTTAGATAGGAGTGCTCTGTCCACGAATGCCTGCACACTAGAACAGGGCATCAGAGCCTATTATGGATGTGGTTGCTGGGAATTGAACTGAGGACCTCTGGAAGAGCAGCCAGTGCTCGTAACCGCTGAGCCATCTCTCCAGCCCCTGAGACTTTTATTTATTTTCAATAGCAAGCTTGTCTTCCTTTGTAGCTCAAGGCTTGTCTGGAAGTCAGTGTGTAGCCCACCGTGGTGATGAGTTTTGTCAGCTTGACACAACTCAGAATCACCTGGAAAGAAAGTGTCAATGGGGGATTGTCTAGATTAGGTTGGTCTGTGGGGAATTAATTGTTTGGGTTGCTTTAATTGATATGGGAAGACCCAGCCCACTATGGGTGGCACCATTCCCTGAGCGTGGAGTTCTGGACTGTATAAGAGAAGAAAGCTAGGTGAGCACTAGCAAGTGAACAGCATGCATACATTGATTTTTCTCTGATCTTGACCTTCAGGTTACATGACACCACACCCCCACACCCACCAAGTAGCAGACTGTAACCTGGATTTGTAAGCTAAAATAAACCCTTTTGTGTCCCCGCCCCCCTTTTGGTTTTTTGAGAGTTTCTTGGTGTATCTCTAGCTATTCTGGAACTCTTCCTCTTATACATAACTAGTTTTAGTGGCTTGATGTATATTCTTTAAAGTATTTATCTTTTGGTGGGCGTTTTTTGTTGTCGTTTTTTTGTTTTTGGTTTTGTTTTTTTAGATTTTTTTGTGTGTGTGTATTCACTCATGTGGACATGTGTGTGTATACATTCATGTAGGTACCTGTGGAGGCCAGAAGAGAGCATTGGATTCACTCTTGGAGCTGGAGTTACAGATGGTTGTGGTATTGGGAATCAAATTCCCTGTCCTCAGGGAGAGCAGGAAGGCCTCTTAACTGCTGAGCCATCTCTCCAGCCTCAAATCTATTCTTACATTTCACTCTTGATACCTTTACTTAGACCAATACAACTTTATTTATTACTACTTTTACTATTTCTTTCATTTGAGTGTCTGCTTGCCTACAGCTGGTCGTTTTACTTTGAACCAGGCAGTGGTAGTGCAATCCTTTAATCCCAGCACTCAGGAGGCAGAGGCAGACAGATCTCTCTCTGTGTGTTTAAGGCCAGCCTGGTCTACAGAGTGAGATCCAGGACAGTGAGGGCTACACAGAGAAACCCTGACAGGGGGAGATAAAAGAAAGAAAAAAAAAAGGGTTTTTATTGGCTTATAGCTATCTTGTAGGTTCTGTGACTTGTGCATACAATTTTGAGGCCAGCACCCTGATACCAGTCTTTTTTTTTTTTTTTTTTTTTGGTTTTTCGAGACAGGGTTTCTCTGTAGTTTTGCGCCTTTCCTGGAACTCACTTTGTAGACCAGGCTGGCCTCGAACTCACAGAGATCCTCCTGCCTCTGCCTCCCGAGTGCTAGGATTAAAGGCGTGCGCCACCACCGCCCGGCTGATACCAGTCTTAATTCACTAAATACAGTGGCTCTCTAACCAAGATAGGCTATAGTGTGATACTGGGTGCATCTCAGTGGACTGCTAATACCTTGCTTGAACAATTCCTTTTTTTTTTTTTTTTTTTTTTTTTTTGGTTTTTTTCGAGACAGGGTTTCTCTGTGTAGCTTTGCGCCTTTCCTGGTACTCGCTTTGGAGACCAGGCTGGCCTCGAACTCACAGAGATCCACCTGGCTCTGCCTCCCGAGTGCTGGGATTAAAGGCGTGCGCCACCACCGCCCGGCGAACAATTCCTTTTTTAAAAATTTTCTTTCAATTGTATAGGAGTTTTGCCTGCATGCAGGAGAGTGTATCACTTGCGTGCCTGGTGCCTAGGAGGGTTACAGGTAGTTATGAGCTGTCTTGTGGGTGCTGCAAGTCAAACCCCAGTCTTCTGGAAGAGCAACCAGTACTTTTAATTGCTGAGCCATTTCCCCAGCCCCAAGCAATTTTTTTTCAACAACTGTGCTTGTTGGATCCCAGGTTCCTGTCAGTCATGTTGGGCCGAAACCATGCTTTATTTCACATTGTCTGAAATCTGGTAAATGTGCACCATTTATCAGCTGAGACTCAATTGTAGGCCTTTTGGTTTTGCACATATGAACTGTATGTAGTGTTTTCAAGCTTGAGGGTACATGTAAATCCACTTGATCTTTCTGAAATTCAGGCCGTTTCCTTGGGTCTGGGATGCAGCAAGACACGTTTCTGATTAGTTCTCAGGTGGAGCTCATGCTGTTGCATGTCTTGCCATTGACCTGTAGCATGTGTGCCTGTGCTGCTCACAGAGGATTTTGACAAGTAAGCAGCGTGGTTCAAAAAAAATGTTTATGAAATAACCTAACAAAAAGTTGACTAGTATTCTATGTTTCCTCAAAAATTATGTTTAAAAAGGTCTAGTTCTGTAGCCTTTATAAGAAAGAAAAAAGAAAGTTGGGAGCAGAGACTCTGACCAAGGTCATTTCCAGACCTAACACCCACTGGAGTTGAGAGGCAGGGTGGAGACAGCACAGCCCCCACTACAGTGCCTGCATAGAATGGGGCCCCCTGGGATGACAGCCACATGATTCAGTAACAGAAGAGAGGAAAATGAGCCAGAGAGGAAAGAAAGGAGGTCTGCACTTAGCAAGGTACATTAAGATCTAAGGTTCCATTCAGGAGATGAGGTGCTATGAAAAGTGAGTTCTTGGTGCAGAGAAAGCTCAGTTTCTGCCGCTGCCCCTCCCACTTCAGAAGCCTTATCTATGTCCAGCCCACATACTGCTCACACAGGGGGACATCCAGCAGGGAATCTACGTGATTGCGGAAACTTGGACAGCACCCTCTGAAGCCCCTAACTGTAGTACTCTCAGACAGTGGGGTCTCTGGCTGCATGCAGCAGATAATTACAGCGATCAGGAGAGGTGGAGTGAGTTGACTCGCCATAGGTGTGTTGGGGACTTGGAGCTGGAGCAGGGTCTGTTCTGTGTAATTCTCAGCAAAGGTAGCTACCACTGCCTCATGGCAGTGATTGTAGTGGACTTGGAGCACTCAGTCTGAGCATGTGTTAGTCCAGTGAATTCCTATAGCTCTTGGTACAAAGTATGTGTGCCCCTCCATGGACCAGTGCCCCTCTTCCCTTTTGCTTTAGTTTCCCATTCTGGGCACTACCCTGAGCCAATTGGTAGACATAAAATCTTTTGCCTGGAAACTTATCTAGGCCCCCAGGGGTGTCTGCTACATTCTCTCTCAGCTGCCTATGTACAAAGGCATCTTTCATGATGCCCTTCACACTTGGCCTGACTTGGTGGAACCTTTATTGCCCACTTGCAGCTCTGCTGAGGTTTTGCCCTTGCTAGCTTAGAGTTCTTTGATATGCAGTTATCATTCACAATTGTCATGGCTAGTTTTATATCAATCAACTTGACACAAGCTAGAGTCATTTGAGAGGAGGGAACCCCAAGTGAGAAAATATCTCCCTAAGAGTGGACTGTAGGCAAGCTTGTAGAGCATTTTCTTCATGATTGATGTAGGAGAGACCAGTCAATTGTGGGTGGTGCCATCCCTGGGCTGGTGGTCTTGGATTCTGTAAGAAAGCAGGCTGAATAAACCAGTAAGCTCATTTCCCCATGGCCTCTGCATCAGCTCCTGCCTCTAGGTTCCTGCCCTGTTTTGAGTTCCTGTCCTGACTTCCTTCAGTGATGAATAGTGATGTGGAAGCATAGGCCAAATAGACTCTTTCTTCCACAACTTGGTTTTGTTCGTGGTGTTTTATCCCAGCTGTAGTAACCCTAACTGAGACAGGAATGCAGTTTTGCCTTCTGTGCACAGGCTATAGTTCTTAATGTCATTTCATCACCTTCCCAAACTATTTAAAAAGTGAGCAAGCGGGTCCGCTCTGTCGGTGGTTGGGTCCAATCTCCAGTGATAGTCAATAAACAGCCTTACCACATCTGAACAGCCATGTGGAAATACATGCAAATACTTCTGATGACACTAAAATGGAGCTTTATGGGAGAAACCAAGGATAAAATGACCAAAACAGAAAATGGCATGTGTTGGTAGAAAGACTCAAATTAGGAAACTGGTTTCCTCTTGTATTGTAGTTCTCTGAGTACCTTTTCTAGTGCTGGTGGTCATGTGCTATCTTGAAATGCTCCTTTTTCTCCTTCAATGTTAGAAGACAGCTTTGCTGTATATAGCAGTCTTGGATGGTGTTATTTGTTCTGAGGGCTCCTTGAAATGTACTCCATGCTTTTTTGGCTTTTTGGTCTACTGCTGCAAACATCCCTTGTAAGGATTTACTTTTAATTATGTATATATGTTGTGTTGTATGTGGGTATGTACATGTAAGTGTCAATGCCCGTAGAGGCCAGAGGCGTCGGCCTTGCAACTTCAATGACAGGTGGTTGTGAGCCATCAGATGTGGGTGCTGGGATCCAAACTCAGGTCCTCTGTAAGAGCAGTGTGTACTCCTAATTGCTCGGCCATCTCTTCAGTTCCCACTTTCAACTTTTAGTGTTGTTTCTTTGCTCTGTGAGTTATTTGGGGTTTTGTTTGTGTTTTGAGATAGGATCTCATTATGTAGCCCAGGCAGGCCTAGAACATGGAATGATCATACTGCCTCAGCTTAGCTCATTAGTGGGCTTACATGTGTGCACCACTATGTCCTGCAACAAATACTCTTTTTTTTTTTCTTTTTCCGAGACAGGGTTTCTCTGTAGCCCTGGCTGTTCTGGAACTAGCTCTGCAGACCAGGCTGGCCTCAAACTCACAGAGATCCACCTGCCTCTGCCTCTGCAGTGCTGAGATTAAAGGTGTATGCCATCACTACCTGGCAAATATTCTTTTAAAAAATGTAGTGGGTGTTGTGTTAAACTACCCCTCATTCATTCATGAGCCATACTTCAGATCCCTTTTATACATCTGCATGTTGTATCTTACCTGCTGTCATTTTCTGGAGTGGCTTAAGGTGATTCACAGTGTGTAGTTCTTGTGGACGGATTTTCTACAGCTTCCTTTCTAAGTAGGAATACAGCCTGAGCTTGCCATGGCTGATCTCAAGTATATATGATTAACTTCCTGCCCAACTCTTCAGCTTTATTCCACACATCCTCTTAATTTGCCTTCAGCCATTTTGGCCAAAGGAGTTAAACTTTTTTTTTTAAAGAACATTAGTATTTTTATTTGTTCAATAATGTAAAATGCAGATGTTAACTTAACTGATACACATTCACATACAACTTTTTTCCTCATATCCACAACTCAACGGATGGGTGAATCCAGAGGAATGACCATGATCATCATATGAAGCAGACTATATTAACCTTTCCAAAGTTTATTCCAGTCCATTTCTTTTATACTCCAAAACATCTACATTATGTTGTTTGATGAGATAAAACCCACAGGAAAACCATGGTGCCCAAGGTCAGCCCAACTCTCAGCCAGTTAGGTTTAGCATTGGCTGGCTCCTGTCATAGAACTTGACCGTGTTGAAGAGCAACTCTGGAGCCCAGCAGGGGCCAGCAGCCACGAAAACAGTACGTTTCCTGAAGCAGTAAGGTGGACAGCGCCATTTTGCTCCACAGGCTCTACCTCTTCCAGAAGTTTCTCAGTACAGTGGACTTAGGCTCATGGATTGTTAGACTACAGAATATGATTCCTTTACTCCGTATTTTTAGATGGGGACAGTATCTGAAGTGAGCAAGGAGACAATGGCATTTTTATTGCACTGTAAAGTAAAAAGTAAATTTCAGCTGTAGCTACTAACAAAGAGCTGTGAATGTGCTGAGATGGTGTTCCTCCTAATTACTTCTGTTTGACATGCAGAGTTAGTCTAGTACTGAGAAGATGGCCTGGCTCACCACTTGTTTCTGAAGGCTCAGGTGTAGCTGTAGGGAGCTCTGGTTTGCCAGCTATTTCATTGTCCATGCTGTTTCCTGGACACTGGAGGAAAGATCCTATCCTGGTTAGGTTTCCGTTGCTGTGATTAAACAGCATGACTGCCTTCGTTACTGTTCTATTGTTGTGAAAAGACACCATACCAAGGCAACCTATAGAAGAAAGCATTTAATTGGGAGTTTGCTTACAGTTTCAGAGGGTGAGTCCATGATTATCATGGTGAGGAGCATAGTGGCAGGCAGGCATGGCACTGGAGAAGTAGCTGAGAGCTACATCCTGATCCACAGGCAGCAGGCAGGGGGAGAGACACTGGACCTGATCTGGACTTTTGAAACCTGAAAGCCAGTGACACACCTAGTTGTTCCCCAACAGTTTTCCTAACTGAGACAGAGCATTCAAACATGAGCCCATGGAGGCCATTCTCATTCAAACCACCACAATGATGAGAACAACTTGGGGGGACAGGGCGTATTTCATCTTCCAGCTTACAGTCTATATAAAGGGATGGCAGAACAGAGCCTGAAGCAGGGATGTGGAGGAACATTGCAGACTGTCTTGTTCCTCATGGCTTGCTCAGCCTGCTTCCTTAAAACAACCAGGACCACCTGCCCAGGGGTAGCACTACTCCTAGGGGCCTGGGCCCTCCCACATCCATCATTAATTAAGAAAATGCCCCATAGACATTTCCATAGGTCAGTCTGATGGTGGCATTTTCTCAATTGCTATTTCTCTTCCCAGATGATCCTGGCTTGTGTTAACAAAGAACTAAGCAGTACAGTCTCCAAGTAGGCCTTTTGAACAAGCAGCATTCCTACCTTCTCATAGTTTCTAGAGTGGTTGTGCACAGAAAGCCCATGCAGGGATGTTAACCCTTCTGGGCCAATGCTAAAGAGAAAGGCAAAAATTACTGAGTTACTTAGAAGCATTTTGGAATGGGTATGAGAGGTGACAGCATTGCTGTGTGATATCAGTATGTCACTTTAAGGTAAGATAAACATGCTTTTTGTCTTGCTATACTCAAGCTGTGGTCTCTGGTAAAGCTTCCTTTCTGGTCATCTCCAGGACAGTGTCTCAGTTTCCATACCAGTTATCCTCTGCTTCTCTAACACAAACCAGTGTGTATTTTATTGGCCGGGGGCGGGGGGGGGGGGGGGGGGGGGGGAAGGTATATGAAAAGCTGGAACTGCTCTTTTTGTGCTGTGTGCTGTGACCCCGTTATGAAGCACAGGACAAAATGTCAAAAGTTGAAAGGGCCATACTGGATCATGTGGACACCAGAAAGCATAATTTATTGTTTAAATTTCAACATCAGCAGTACCTCTAGAGGTAGGCGTGGTTGGGGAGTCAGTCTGGGTAACGGGACTGTGCTTTAAAAGGGTGCAGATAACTCTGCCATGGTGGAATTGGGACCACCTTCACTGCCCACTGTTCTGTGAGTCTCAAGTAGGAGGTGATGATTAAAAGCAGTCATTTGCTCTCTTCTCCAGCCCACACCAGTTATCCTGTTGAAAGAAGGGACTGATAGCTCCCAAGGCATCCCTCAGCTTGTGAGTAACATCAGTGCCTGCCAGGTGGTTGCTGAGGCTGTAAGAACCACACTGGGTCCCCGTGGCATGGACAAGCTTATTGTGGATGGTCGAGGTAAGTCTTCATGGTTCCTCGGGGCTTTGTGAAGGAGTAGAGGTGCCTAGGGGGTATTTGGGGCTTACAGTTGCCATCAGAAATCCCATTGCTTGTAGGATCTCCAAAGGATCTGTGAAGCTGTATGCACGGCCTTGAATGTAGAACCCTGTGGGGATCTGTGGGAGAACCTGGGCTCAGGAGTCTATTGCCTTCTAGGAAAGTGTGGCCCAGAGACATAAATAGAACTGGGGGCTAGAGAGAAAGATGTGTCAGTGGTTAGGAGAGCTTGCTGCTCTTTCGGGTGACCAGTTCCTAGCACCTATGTCAGGCAGCTCCTAACTGTCTCTGAAAGTCCAATCCTTGGAGTTCTGATGCTGTCTCTGGCTTCTGAGGGCACCTGCATGCATGCACATGTACATGTACTCATATATACATAATTAAAACGGGAAATCTCTTTTTTTAACTTATGTAAGTATTTATTTTTAAGAAGCTGGTTTTCTCTGGGGTCCCCCTCACTGTAACATGTTGCTAACACAGAAGGAAAAATTGCCCTTTAAGCTATGTTGTATTGTTGTGAGATACTAGAATGTCAGATGTCTTCAAAGTATTTTAGGGGTTACTCTTATTTTTGAGACAGTATAGCCCAGGCTAGCCTCAAACTGGATGTTCTGCTTTAGCCTCCAAAGATGACTTGCACGCTGCATGCTTGGCTATTTAAAACATTACTCTGTGTTCAGTTAACCTGGACTCAAGAAAATCAAGAGCCCATAGTATTTAAAAGCTTGTGACCCAATCCCAAGAAAAAGTGTATGTGGAGTCCAGGTCTGTAAACAGGATTAAGAAAGGAGGTTTTAACTACTGTTTTCTCTCTTAAGGCAAGGCAACAATTTCTAATGATGGGGCCACAATTCTGAAACTCCTCGATGTCGTCCATCCTGCAGCAAAGACCTTGGTGGACATTGCCAAATCCCAAGACGCTGAGGTAGGAAAGTCAGTCATAGAAACTTAAGTGGAGGCTAGAGCACAGTGTCTCTCCTTCAGTGCCTCACTCTTTTCACTGAAGATCTTTTTTTTTTTTTTTAGGTCTAAAATTTTACTTGTCTAACTGTTTTACATATAAAAATAGTTTTAATTTAAAAATTTTTAAAAAATTATTATTGTTTTTGTTTTTTGAAATAGTTTTGGCTATCCTATAGCTGGCTATGTAGACCAGGCTGGCCTTGAACTCACAGAGATCCTCCTGCCTCTGCCTCCCATGCAGCATGTGGCACCACACCCAGTCTCTGATTAATAACCTTTAAAGCTATAATTCTGGATGTACTATTTCCTATCCATTAATCCATTGTGGATGGCAGCTGTCTTCAGGTCTCAGTTCTGGAGACTGAGTCTAAGTGCTCTAATTTAGACTGGGCCTGTGAGCGGTTATTCATGTTATTCACTGCTTACCACTTTATAAAATGGGATTGGAGACACAAAGGTTTCCATCCTGCTGTGTGTGTCAAGTACACATAATTTATCCTTCCAACCAGTTTCAAGTGTCCATGTCACTGTCAAGCACCAGTCTGTCTTTGTAAACGTCAGTTTTGATGCTAAAGTCTGGGTAGTAATTGTGCAGAGCAGGCTTTGTACTTCGGAGTGCTGCAGAATAGGGATGTTGAGGTGGGTCTTGATGGGTTTGTTAATTATCTTCAGCAAGGAAATAATGCATGCTTCTTGTCAGACATCTAGCAGCTTCATTCCTTCTCCAGAGTGTTCCCCTTCCTATTGAGTATTCCTTATTTTACATAGGGAACATAAGTGAGTGAAAAAGGAATTCATTCCCAAGGAGAAGTCAGCCAGTTTTTGTAAATGATCTTACTTTTTCTCTCATTAAAAATACAGTTTAGGGGGCTGGAGAGATGGATGGTTCAGCAGTTAAGAACACTGGTTGTTCTTCCAGAAGACCCAGATTCAGTTCTCAGCACTCATGGTGGTTAACAACTGCCTCTAAGTCGTCCAGAGCATTTGACACCCTCTTCTGGCCTCTGTGATACTAGGCATACAGGTGGTACACAGACAGACAGACAAACACCCATATACATAAATACTAGACTGCAGCGCAGAAAAACTGAGGAAGATTAGCAGACTGGAAAACTGCTCTTCTAAATAGTGTTTGAAGCGTTTTGGCCAGTTCTAGGAGTTAGTTTACTTCTGCCTCACAACTACCTGATTCTAGTTTCAGAGAATTTGACACCTCTGGTCTTTGTGGGCACCTGCACTTATGTGCTCAACTGTGTATGTATATAATTTAAACATTTTTTAAATTATTTATTTATTTATGGTTTTTTGAGACAGGATTTCTCTATGTATCCCTGCCTGTCCTGGACTTAGCTCTGTAGACCGGCCTGGCCTCAAAACTCACAGAGATCTGCCTGCCTCTGCCTCCCAGGTGCTGGGATTAAAGGCATGTGCTGCTGCCACTTGACTTAAAATAAAAACATTTTTAAGGAATGTTTATTTATTTATTCTTGGTACTGTAGTTATTTGTCATATGCTGTATTTCTTACTAACTTTGTATATAGTAAAGTGCACTGGCTAGTTTTATGTCACTTGACACAAGCTAGAATCATTGGAGAAGGAGGGAGCCTCAATAAGATCAGGCTGTAAGCAGGCCTATAGGCATTTTCTTAATTAGTGATTGATGGGGGAGGACCCAGCCCATTGTGGATGATACTACCCTTGAGCAGGTGGTCCTGGATTCTATAAGAAAGCAGGCTGAGCAAGCCATGAGGAGCAAACCAGCAAGCATCACTCCTCCGTGGCTTCTGCTTTAGCTCTTCTCTCCAGGTCCCTGGCCTGCTTGTGGTCCCATCCAGACTTCCTTTGATGATGAACTGTGATGTGGAAGTATAAGCCAAATAGGCTCTTTCCTTCCCCGTTCCTTTGGGGTCTCATCACAGCACTAGTAATGCTTAACTAACACAGTAACGTTTCTGCTGACTCCTGTGCCAGGTTCGTATCCTGAGAGTGGACTGTCCTGGGCTCTCTGGAGAATGGTGCTGTCTAGGGAATTAACTTTGTACTTCAAAGCCATCTGAGAAAGGCTGATTCCCTGGACACTCTAACCTTTCCATTTTTGTTGCAAAATATGTGGGTTTTTGGAAAAAGTTTGACACCCAATTTAAAGTGTCCACTTTGAATTGCTAAGTTGCCTAAAAATAATTTTCAGAGCTTCATTCCCTGAATAGCAGAAAACATGTCTTCCAGGTTGGTGATGGCACCACCTCAGTGACCCTGCTGGCTGCCGAGTTTCTGAAGCAGGTGAAGCCCTACGTGGAGGAAGGTTTGCACCCTCAGATCATCATCCGAGCTTTCCGCACAGCCACCCAGCTGGTATGGACTGCATCGGCTCACTCGATTTAGAACCTGGGCCCCTCACATTTCTGTTAGGATAATGCCTTTCCTGGGTGTGAAGGAACTGCACAGAGCAGAGCTACACGGGCATTTCCAGCCATCTTTCCATTCTACCCTTCAGTAGCTGTTTGATGAGATAGATTAAGACTGGTAGACTTATTTTGTAGACGTAGGCTCTTTATAGGTGAGAGCTGTTTTTAATTATTTAGAGTGTACAAAATAGGGACATCTTAGTATGTCTACTAAATGCAACCTTTGTTTTTCTTTTACTTTTTTCAATTTTTTTATTTTTCATTTTTCAGATTGTATTTTACTTACAGCATTTCTCCCTTCCCATTCCTCCCTTCAAACCTTCTCATGCACTCATCACTCGCCTTCCAGTTCATGGCCTCTTGTTACTGAATATGTGTATTCCTAAATAGAACCTGTTGAGGCCATATAATATATAATGTCACTTGTATATTTTCAGGGCTGATCATTTGGCACTAGACAGCCAATTTCTTTTTTCTTTTTTCTTTTTTGAGATAATCTGATATAGCCTAAGCTGGCCTTGAATTTGCTTGATCCTCCCACCTCCACCTGAGTGCAGGATTGCAGGTAGTATATGCTGCTACAGCTGGCTCGTGACGGTTTCCATGTGTACATTGTTTTGTTTTAGTTTTTCGAGATGGTACAATTTTATTTTGTTTTGTTTTGGTTTGGTTTTTCGAGACAGGGTTTCTCTGTAGTTTTGCGCCTTTTCCTGGAACTCACTTGGTAGTCCAGGCTGGCCTCGAACTCACAGAGATCCGCCTGGCTCTGTCTCCCGAGTGCTGGGATTAAAGGCGTGCGCCACCACTGCCCGGCCTCAATTTTGTTTTTTATCAGGTACCTTATGATAGCTTGGTTTTGACTGTTCAGTGCTGTGGGATGTTCTGTATGTCAAATGTGTTGCTGATTAGTCAATAATTAAAACACTGATTGGCCATTGGCTAGGCAGGAAGTGTAGGCGGGACAAGGAGGAGAATAAAGCTGGGAAGTGGAAGGCTGAGTCAGAGAGACACTGCCAGCCGCCACGATGAGAAACAGCATGTGAAGATGCCGGTAAGCCACGAGCCATGTGGCAAGGTATAGATTTATAAAAATGGATTAATTTAAGCTGAAAGAACAGTTAGCAAGAAGCCTGCCATGGCCATACAGTTTGAAACCAATACAAGTCTCTGTGTTTACTTGGTCGGGTCTGACGGCTGTGGGACTGGCAGGTGAGAGAGATTTGCCCTGACTGTGGGCCAGGCAGGAAAACTCTACCTACAGTTCAGTCTCCCATCATGTGACTTGTGACATGTCACTTAATCCCTGTAGGCCTTACTTTCTCCTTTGCTGTGTTCCCAGTGCTGACACTGAAATCAGGTCATATGTAAGGAATACTTTGGAGGGGATTTGCTGGTTTAAAATGCTGGTTTATATATTATTTATGACTTGCATAGATATAAAGTGCTAGAAGTTGTCCACTTGTAAGCCAGGGGCTTGGCCTAACCTAGCAACCTGTCTGCTTCACCTGCATTGTCCTCCTGTTGTTGGCAGTCCCAGAGCCAAGGCCTGGAAGTGCCTGGTGATTCTTCAGACACTCAGGTGGCAGAGCTTTCCATTCTCTGGGCAGCTCCAGGCCCAGGAGATATGCTTAGGATCTTGGCACTGTTGGGTCCACTGCACCGTTCTGTGTTTAGCATGAGACCCACTCAACTTGTGTTCTTGGCAGGCTGTTGACAAGATCAGAGAGATTGCTGTGACTGTGAAGAAGCAAGATAAAGTGTAAGTTTCCAGTGGGCTTTGTCAGAGCCTTGCTATCTTGTGGCCAAATTGGGTATGTAAGCATGTTGCAGTCTCTGGGCAAGAGGCTCTTGAGTTTTTGTCAGACCCTTGGCTATGCAGCATGAAAGAGCTGGCACTGGGGTGGGTGGGGTGGGGGTGATTGCATCTGCTGTCTGTTGCTGATAATCTACCCTAACGATAGAAAAGGTGACAGGTGGAGAGGGGTGGGTGGTGAGTTTTGGGTTAAAGGGAAAGTAATGGGGTGGTATGTATAGCTGCTAAGGTAGATTTTGGTTTAATTGATGGGTTGATACTGCTTTTGTCAAATGTAGTTTTCTGTCACACTAATGGTTAATATGTATAGAGTATTGTATGCAGTGCACCACTCCCATGCTGTAGTAGAATCAGGGAAGAAGCTCAATGTCAGTTCTGCCCTGTGCTACAGAGAACAGAGGAAGATGCTGGAGAAGTGTGCAATGACAGCCCTGAGCTCCAAGCTGATCTCTCAGCAGAAGGTCTTCTTCGCCAAGATGGTGGTTGATGCTGTGATGATGCTTGATGAGTTGCTGCAGCTTAAAATGATTGGCATCAAGAAAGTGCAGGGTGGAGCCCTAGAGGTGAGCCTGTTGTGGCCTCCCTAGACATCAGACAGCTTGACTGGGAGCAGAGTTCACAGTATAGATGCAGGGAGAATGCAAGAATCTGTTTGCTTATCATCAGGATGGGAGCATGGACCTATGCCACTTGAGAATCCTGTTCTCTGTGTTAGTGTCAGGGTGTATAGAGATTGGCTCAGATAAATTACTTGTGAATTCTCCAAAGAGAAATCCTAGAGGTAGTCGGCAGTCCACAGACTGTTCCTTTGTTGGCAGTAACTGGAGGGGTTGATGGGTGAAGAGCCACAGTGACAGCTACTAAGGAAGCATCCAGGCTCCACTGTGTATACTTCATGTGTTCAGGCAATAAGGAGACTTGAGGGTGAGGTGTCTGCCTTTCCCCTACCCATCTGCTCCTTTGTTGGAAGTGCTGTGCATAGCCAGCTGTAGAGGTCAACCAGGTAGATAGCTTTTACCATGCTTGTCTCTGTTCAAATTGAATGCTATCTCACCTTAAAGGGGCAACTAAAGTACGTTCTATGTCACTTAAAGTTTAAAAGATGGGTTTGTCCCAAATTTTGTGATGATGATGGATAAGACTATCACAGTAGTGGAGGGTGGGGTTTACTCTTCTGGGTTCATAGATTGATTGAATTTCTGGCTGTAACCAAACCATTGAGCTATCTGTCTTAACCAGGAGTCTCAGCTGGTGGCTGGTGTCGCATTCAAGAAGACTTTCTCTTATGCTGGGTTTGAAATGCAGCCCAAGAAGTATAAGAACCCCAAGATCGCCCTCTTAAATGTTGAGCTCGAGCTGAAAGCAGAGAAAGATAATGCTGAAATCAGAGTCCACACAGTAGAGGTAGGCCCCTCCCTTCGCAGGGGTGAGGAGGCCGGCAACTTTCTGGGTGAGGGCCTCCAATCTCTAGGTTGCTAAGGGCCACCTCAGTTTCTCAGGTTCCTGTAGGCACTTGATCTTCTGTCCGTGCCCGTGTCTGCACACTCAGCCCACTACTTTGTTTTCCTGGACTTCTGCCTGAGGTGGTTTGAATATGAAAACCTATTGAGCAGCTGTGCTCTGCCTCTTAGGGGGATGAGCCCTCCAACTTGACTGAAATTTTGTTTTGTTTATTCTCTTATCCATAGTAAGGCTGACATGCATTAAGTAGAGCTTTACTGCCGAGCTACACCCCCAGTCCCTAGCCCCTTTTTAACTTTTGTATTTTAAGACAGTGTTTTTCTGTGCAGCCCTGGCTGTCCTGGAACTTGCTCTGTAGACTACCAGGCTAGCCCCAAACACAGAGGTCCTGCCTCTGCCTCTCAAGTGCTGGGATTAAAGGTGTACACCACCACCATTCCCAGTGCCCTCCCCTTTTTTTGAGACAGGGTCTCATTATGTAGCTCTGTTTGTCCTGGAACTTGCTATGTAGATCAGGTTGGCCTCACAGATACCTGCCTGCCTCTGCCTCACTAGTGCTAGGATTAAAGGTGTGCACCACTACCCCAGGCTTGCCTGACAATTGTAAATTTTTATTTTGAGACAAGTGTTGTTAAGTTTTTCGGGCTGGCCTTGAATTTATAATCTTCCTACCTCAGTCCTGAGTAGCTGGGATGACAAAATTGCCTCTATTGTGATTCTTTTGGACTGGACAGGTCTCCTTCCTTTCTAGTCTCATGAACTGTGTTCCTCCCATTGTGGTTCCCAAGGCTGCCTCTAGGTAGCAGTGTTTTCCAGCACAGAATGGCCTTTGTGGTGGGAGAGATCGTATTGGGAAATCCCTAGGCAAAGCTCCCTCCTTGAAGTTACTCTGTATGTTTGTTTGTGTTTGAAAGTGTTAAGTGGTTGCTTTTAATGGTCCTCATGTGTTTTGACTATTGGCCCCTCTAATTCCCAGATAAGTCGGCATGTTTTCTGTGGGGGAAGGAGTTGGGTTAGCCTTAGCCTGTCTGTATATACACCAACTTTCATCCTCAAACACCCTCATCTTTTGGGGGGTCTCTAGGATTACCAGGCAATTGTTGATGCTGAGTGGAACATTCTCTACGACAAATTAGAGAAGATCCATGAGTCTGGAGCCAAAGTCATCTTGTCCAAACTCCCCATTGGGGATGTGGCCACCCAGTACTTTGCTGATAGGGACATGTTCTGTGCTGGCCGCGTGCCAGAGGAGGATCTGAAGAGGACAATGATGGTAAGCAAAACTTCATAGGCTGCTGCTTGTCCTTCCTGGCCCTGGATTGTTTCCTCTGTCCCTGATGTAATAGAATAGACTGCCTATACCCGGTAATAGAAACTGCTTTGAATTCACTGACCAAGACAGGTCAGCAAGTAGGTGCTACACAGCAGCACTGTGGTCACTGGGTCAGGCTCAGTGGGTATTGCTTCCAGTGAGGGCTTTCCCTCTCGGTATCTGCTCCTGAGTAGAGTTGCTGAACCCAGAGCAGTAGACATCAGATCTCTCTCCTTTGAACTAGGCCCTTTTGCCTTTTATGTGTTTGGTTCTGTTTTGATTTCATCTTTTTGAGTGGTAGTAGGGATCATCTAGAGGTCAGGATAAATGTTGAGCTCTTAAGATTCTGTGGCAGATTCAGCATGGAAACTGGCTTATGAGTGGGTGTCAGGAGGCCAGTTGGCCTCATTGATGTTTTCCTTGCTCCCCAGGCCTGTGGAGGCTCAATCCAGACCAGTGTGAATTCTCTGAATTCAGATGTGCTGGGCCACTGCCAGGTGTTTGAAGAAACCCAAATTGGAGGCGAGAGGTGAGCCTATGGGCTCAGCACCCAAGAACTGCTTGGGTCTGCCCAACCCCTTTTTTTGTCAAGTTCTGGGTGTGGTGTGTGGCTTGTACTGTTCCCTTTTCAAGGTGCTATTGGGTGGAGGGGTGGATAAAGAGCTCAGTTATAGTGTTACAGAAGGGAAGTAGTTCTAGTTGGATCTTAGATCTGATTCCACAAGCTCTAGTGGTACCACCCCAGTCCGCCTCAAAAAATACTTTCAAGGTTAGGATTGACAGCCTGAGTGAACAAGCACTGCTCCCTCTTGGGAGGGCTTGGCAGGGAGATCAGGCAGCAAGGTGGCAGCAATTCATGTGTGCACCATTACATCCTGGACATAGGTACAATTTCTTCACTGGCTGCCCTAAGGCCAAGACATGTACCATCATCCTCCGTGGTGGGGCTGAGCAGTTTATGGAAGAGACAGAGCGGTCCCTGCATGATGCTATCATGATCGTGAGGAGGGCCATCAAGGTACTGGGATGATGCCTCTTTCCTGTACAGTCCCCTAACTAAAGCTGGTAAAATCTTAAGAGTTCATATAACCTGTCCTTCCTAGGTGGCATGTTGGGCTTTGATTTCCCCCTACAAATCATGGAGAAATAATTTCAGCCTCATATATAGGCCATGCTGGTTTTGGTTGGTTGGTTGGTTTGGTTTAGCTTGTTTTTTTATTTGGCTTTTTTTTTTTTTTTTTTTTTTTTTTCTGAGACAGGGTTTCTTTGTAGCCCTCGCTATCCTGAAACTCGATCTGTAGACCAGGTTGGCCTCTGCCTCCTGAGTGCTGGGATTAAAGGCATGAGCCACCACCACTGACTGGCATAGGCCATGATGTTTTAAAGGCCAAAACTAGTTAACAAACTGGGGCTGATCTATTCAGCTGTCCTCCTGACGTCACCACGCCCAAGCTATGGTTGGCCTTGACAGTGACCTTTCAGTTTCTATGATTGAAGTTGGGATGTGCTGGATGCTGGCTGTGTCTGGGCATCTGGGGTTTGGGGAAGGGACAGAACAAGCCAGTATTCATGTTTTGGGCGCTTTCTGGGCTGGAGGATTTGCTGTGTGACCCAGCTTGAAGCCTGGAGCTGGGCCACTACATTGGGAGCTATTTGGTTTCTGCAGAATGACTCTGTGGTGGCTGGTGGTGGGGCCATTGAGATGGAGCTCTCCAAATACCTGCGGGATTACTCAAGGACCATTCCAGGGAAACAGCAGCTGTTGATCGGGGCATATGCCAAGGCCCTGGAAATTATCCCACGACAGCTATGTGACAATGCTGGCTTCGACGCCACAAACATCCTTAACAAGCTGCGGGCTCGGCATGCACAGGTAGTTCTCTGCTCTCTGGGACCCAGGGACTAGACGGGCGAGGGTAGGCTCTTAGGTATGTGGTGTCTGGGAATATGGTCACTGTCAGGCGCAGTGGACAACTCCCTCCTGGCACACCTGGAAACAGCAGTTGCCTGGGAGGGCCTAGGTGCTTGTGGTCAGCATGCCTGAAGTTGGAAGCAGGTGTTGGCAGGTGGGGAAGGGTGCCATTGCCCTCAGATTCCCTTGGGAAAGTGCCATCAATTCAAAATTTCTGGCAATTGAGTCCTTTGGCAGGTGTGCAGGAAGAAGTGAAAATAGTTCCTAAGTGCTTCCCCTCTCTTTCAGGGGGGTATGTGGTATGGGGTGGACATCAACAATGAGGACATCGCCGACAACTTCCAGGCCTTCGTGTGGGAGCCGGCCATGGTGCGCATCAATGCCCTGACAGCAGCGTCTGAGGCTGCATGCCTTATTGTATCCGTGGATGAGACTATCAAGAACCCCCGCTCCACTGTGGATGCTCCCCCAGCAGCTGGTCGGGGTCGAGGCCAAGGCCGCCTCCATTGAGAGGCACACCACCCTGATGAGGTGAATTGGTGGTGAGGAAATGGTTGATTAGTCTGCTGTGTTCTCACTGGAGGTTATTTAAATAAAACTTAAGATTATTTGGTCAGAGTTTTTCTCAAAACCATCGTGCTGCCTCTCAGAATGAGCTGTGTGTATACTTGCTGCAGTAGAAGTAAATGATTCTGCAGTGAGCTCTGCTGTGGCCCTTGTCTACAAGTCTCAGTGCAGTTGCAGTTCTGAGCAGTAGCTGGCGATGTATAGTGGCTTCCTTTTCTCCTGATGTCATTCATTATCTTCAGTCCTTCTAGCTCAGACACTGCACACACAGCATCTCTTCCATCACAGTAGGTAGATTATGTTCCACATTCATGTTCTCTGAGCTTAGGCATGTTTCCTCTTAAAATATTGTAAGTGAGGGCTCTTGGGAGAGTGTCAGGGCATCACATAATCTCTGGACTCTGGTAACTTCATAAGGTCTTGGAGAAAATACCTGTTTTCTTTTGCTCAGTCACCTTGAGAGTCCCTTTTGTTTAAACTGGTACTCTGGATTGAACCCAGGGCCTCATGTGGTTTGCTAAGCAAGCACTTGCCATTGAGCTGTGTCCCTGGCCCTATTTTGACTTTGGGCTGATAGTCTTTGTACTGTTAAGGTTTCACTAAGTTGCCCAACCTAGGCTTGACCTGCTTTGTCTTCTGAGTAAGCTGGAATGACTGACTTGTGCTACCATCCCAGCTCCTGCTTCTTGTGACCAGGGGCATATAATGGTTATTGGCACAGAAGTCTGGCAGGGTCTACCAGTGCCTCAGTTCTGCTAACTGCCCTAAGCTAGAGCTGTAGCCAGTGACTATTAGAGCTGAAGGGGTTATGTTGAATAATTGAAGTTCTTGCTTCCTGGAACTGGGATGTGATTAGAGAATTTGAGCTCTGAACTCATGGTTAGATGGTCTTGAAGCAGGATAGGATTTGTGGGCAGGTGTGCACTCTGGAGTGTGATAGACATCCTTCCTGTGGTCAGGTTGGAACAGCTGGCTCTCAAGGATTACTTGTACAGTATGCAGTTTAAGCCAGACATCTGTTTTGTGTGTGTTTTTAAATTTAAACAGGTTAGGAGCTATTAATTAAATCAGCATGAGAAGGCCATTATGTAAAATGGGGAAATTAAGGTCAGGCTATGGTAGCAGTTTAGTCTCTCATAGGTCAAGTGATTTGGCTGCCAGAGCCTCCTGAAGTGGGACTAAGCTGCTGTGGGATGGACAGTCCTTACTGCTTTTGTTCTGCCTATCTGGGTTTACCTTGGAACCCTGGAATGGAAGCTTTGTATATTTGGACAGCAAAGGAGGCATCAGGAGGCAGTCACAGGCCTTTCTCTAGCATTGTCTGCTGCCCTAAAGAGGGTAACTAAATTCTTCCTTCATTTGCCCCATTGACTGGACTTCCTCCTGCCTCACTCATAGCTATAGAAAAGCTGTAATGAGGCCTGAGGATGTTTGTTGGTGGGGTGCTTGCCCGCATGCACAGAAACCTGGGTTCAGTCTCCAGGGCCACACAAATGTGCACACATGTACTCCCTAGCACCAGAAAGCTGGAAGATCAGAGGCTCAAGGCTGTCTTCAATATTGAGTTTGAGACCAGCTGGGCTACACGCGACTCTGGGAAGCAAAGGGTAGGGGCTTGGTGTCTGACAAATATGGCTGTATGCTACATGTTTTTCTGAACCAAACACAATTTTTTCAGTTTCATCATCTTTTATTGGATACAGAACCATAAATTCTCTGATGCCCATGAGTCCTTTTAAATACATATGCTCAATACATTCGGCAAAGGGCATCTGGGTGACATGGAGCAAAGTGCTGGGATGGCAATGCCTGGGTGGGGCAGATAAGTGGGGCCAGGGAAGGCCCCCTGGGGGCTGGAGGTACAGGCACCACTTTAGAAACAAAAGTAAAACCAAAAGCTGCTCTCAGCCCCTCTGCCTAGTGTGCTGGGGGCAGGATGCAGCCTGGCTGTGCAGGGAAGGCAGTGCCCTCTAAGCCCAGCCAACTGCACCAGCTGCAAGGCAAGCCTGATCCACCTCAGGCCTCCGAGACCCCTGCCAGGGATGAGCAGAGGCTGGGGTTCCAGGCCAAGCCTCCTCAGGGGCTAGCCTCATGGTGGGGTGCCTGCTTGATTGTCGGGCAGTCTTGGACTAAGGTCCCAAAGAGTTGAGGAAAGCCTCATGTTCTGCTCTTCACCCAACCTTCAGCCTTGTCCCTGGGCAAGGACTACAACTGAGCTCACTTGTCCAGGAGTAAATATACACACTACATAGTAATATATACAGAGATGCTGGCCTGAGCCAAGGCTGGATGAGAAAGTGTGGCCACCGAGGGTAGAAAGACTGCCAGGTCATTAGGGGCTGACAGGCTGGGGTAGATCCCATCAGTGGTTATCTCCTCTGGGCACTGGGCCATATCCCACTCAGTCACACTTCTTCCAAGTTCACCAGAAGCTATGTCTTTGGCACCAATTGTCACTCTGGGAAGTTTTCATTCAACTTAGCGCCTTACAGAGACTGGGGTTGACAGCTCACTGCCTGTGTTCTGAAACATTCTACATAAGGGCCGGGGATAGCAAAGACTCAAAGGCAAAGGATGGATCCAGGCCTTGGGAATGAGGCCTCTATTGTCATAGGGTTAAAAAAAAAAAAAAAAAAAACAGAACAAACCACCCGATCTCAGGGTGCTTTCTCTTGATGGTTAGAAAGCTGGGGTTCTGGATAGGAGTGCATATATTTTTGCCATACTGTGGGGAAAAGCAGCCTACGTAAGCATGAAGTACTCAGGCCAAACATGCTATATTTCACAGGTGCTAGAGCCAGGCTGTGTGGAAGGGGGTGGGATTGGAAGAGATGCCAGATGGCTGCCACCCATGAGTCCTTTCCATAGACCCTGTGCTTCTGGAGCAGGGCATGCCCTCACATGTTTTTTTGTATCTTAAGTATAAGACAAAGGGCTCCCTTTGGGGTGCCTGAAGATGGGATAAGGTGCTTCTCAGGAAGCCAGATGCCCCATCCCCAACTCTGGCTCTTGACTGCTAAAGATGGAAACAAGCATAGCACCCAGAAGCAGGGTTGGTCGCCAGGGGGCGAAGCAAAGGAACCACAAGTGAGGGGCAGAGCTGCTGGCTCTCCAGGCATGCCTGAGAACTAAGATGCCCAAGACTCAGCCAGGACACAGCGACCTGTCACTTGGGTTGGTAAAGGCTTAGGTCTACAGTTTTTACTCTCTCCACCTTTACTCAGCAAGAACGCAGGTGAGACTTCTTGGAAACAGCTTTTCCGAGAGCAGACTATGCCAACAAAAGGGGTATGTTCCCTCTCCATGGATCAGGATGTGGTGTAGATGTAGTAGAGCCTGGGACTGTCTTGACCTTGCTTCCTGCCCTGATGGCTGTGCACTGCCACCTGTTCCCCTCAACACCAGGCATCCTGGTGCCTCCCCTGCCCAGGAAGATGTCCAAATCCTGGGGTTGAGGAGTGGAAGCCCTGGGGGCAGGCTTGGCAACTACCACACCACTCTGTGCTTTATCCAGGAGGCAGGAAGGGCAGCACCTCTGGTCTTGGAGTCACAGGGAGCAGGGCTACATGGATGCGGCTGGCAAAACGACTGACCTACTGAAGGCAGCTGGGCCCCAAGGGCACCTCCACCTCCCTTCTGAGCCACTGAAGGCAAGGAAAGTTGTGCTGTTGCCTGTGACTCCTGGGGACAGGGCTGGAGAGGGGGGAGCAACTGGAGGCCGCTGTGAGAGGTAGGGGTGTAGATACCACACAGCCAAGGTTTCATGCGGGACTAGGCATGGAGTATCGAGCATGATAGCCTTGGCATTTCAGTCTTCAAAGAACGGGGACAGAACAAGCCACACAACTCATGATGACAAACTGGGACAGAGCTATGGGGTCTGGGAGCATTGAGCAGGAGGGCGTACAGCAGTGGAAGGGACTGGTAGGCGGCACCCATAGCTGGGTTCATGCTCTGGCCAGCTGTGGCCTAGCTGGAGAAAACTGAAGACGATTCCACCTTGTACAGGAGCAAAGAAAACCCTAAGATTTGGGTGAGAGGCCAGGAATTTGAAAGATCTGCCCAAGTGAGGATCGCCAAGACCCATGCCTTAGCCATTGCAAGTTCTGAGAGGAGGAACTCAGTTAGGGATGCTCGGTCTTTGGGGCTGTGGTGCTCAAACAGACTTTTGGGTATGGCGCAAGGGCCCGTGACAGCCTGCCCCAAGTATTCTATTGTAGCCTCAGCCCAGGGCTGTAAAGACTCAGGAAGATGGGCTGAGGAAATTCTTTCCTCTGCCTTGGCACCAGTATCTGGCTCCTTGGCCTCAAGCAAGCCGTTAAGTAAAGTAAGCCCCTTCTCCCCCAAGCCTCAGCACAACAGGGAGCCCAGGGTCCTTCTTGCTAAGTACAGAGACTGCTTTAAGCGTCGCTCTGGGGTGTGATAATGAGGAGTCTTTGTCTTACAGTAGTCTCCTCCAACTGGCCAGTCCTTTACCTGCTAGGGAGGTGCGGGCCTCATCCTGGGAAGTTGCGGACTTTTTTTTTTTACCCTTTTAAACTTATCCCTATGGCCCCGCCCCAATTTTCCCCTAACCTTCTGCCTGGGTTCCTAGGCTTGCCTGGATCGTCACTGGACAATGTGGACCTGGAAGAGAGACCCACTGTCTGACAGGACTGCCCTGCAGAGGGCTTGGTCAGGGAAAGGGGAGAAGAGTCCTCCTTGCCATGTCTGAGCTGCCTTAAGCCCCTTTTGGCCTGTGGCCTGACAGGCTCCTGACCAGGAGCTGGCCTCAGGAAGGAGAGACCTGCCTGAACAGCTGCGGAGCTGCTGGGTGGTGGTGACTGCAGATCCTCTTGAGTGGTGACAACCAGGTGCTGCTGTGCCAGCTGACGATGTCATGTCATGGGGGTCTCAGGGCAGCTTCTGTCCAAGCCCCTGCCCTGGGGAGGCTGTGCTCTGGGTCACCTGTCACTTTGCTGTTCCAGTTGGACAGGGTACTCAACCACTGTCTGGAACCTGGCGTAACACTAGGCCTCCAAAGGTCTAGTCCAAGCCAGGGCCCCTCCAGAGGTCCAAAGAGTGCCTTGGTGTGGGGCTGGCAGGGGCCCTGCCGCCCCTCACCCGGGTTAGCAGCCACCTTCCACTTTGACGTGCAGAATCTTCGAGAAGCCAGGCCTCCGTCGCAGGGCCTAGAGATAGAGCCCCAAGTTAGCTCTTCGTTGGTGTTGGGCAGATGGACTGCTGCCACCCCCACCGGCCCCAGCCAAAGAGTCTTTTGTGGCCTCAGAGCCCACCCCTCACCTGGAGTTTTGTCACCATGTCCTCAAACAGCTTCTGGGCCTCAGGGCTGCTGGGCTCTTTGAAGTAATCAGCAATCCCAATCTGCACCACAATGGATTTGAGGTTCCGGCAGATGCCTGGCAAAAGGCAGGTAAGGGGGATAGTGCTTGGCAAGGGCAGTGTGCTCCATGGGTTCCTCTCATGAATGAAATCAGAGCCCCACTGGGAAACATACATGGGCCAGCCACAAGAACAAGAGTGCCAGGCCTGTGCTGGTGTAGCTCATAACGGACATCTTAAGAAGGCAGGGAGGATATTCTGGAAGGACAAGTGTGTGACAGCAAGCTGCTCAGTGCCCTAACAACTTTCTGGCAGAGGAGACAGCTTGTACCATGGCCTGGGCACTTGGAAATGATTAGCTGCTGAACTGAGACTGAGTGTGGAGTCGGGTGGGTGGGAGGCAATCAAGTCTTGAAACAAGGGCTTCAAGAATTATTGGCCATGATGTCAGGGAGAGGTGCAGGGATGTCAGGAGCTGGAAGGGACCTAGAGAGCATGATGTAGGGGGCTGAGCAGTGAGTTCTGGTGGACCATTTAGGTGGACATGAGGCTGAAGGAAGGTAAATAGGAAGGCTTAGGTGGTGATAACGGTCAAAGAAATAGGTATGGTGGCCCAGGTCTGTCACCTCAGCTACTCAAGAGGCTAAGGCATGAGGATCATAAGTTTAAGGCCTGCCTGCACAGCTTAGTCAAACTGTCTCAAAATAAAAATGTAAGAAAGGCCAGGCATTGTGGCACTCGCCTTCAATCCCAGCACTGGGGATGCAGAGGCAGGTAGGGCAGGTAGGTCTACAGAGTGAGTTCCAGCATAGCCAGGACTTTGTAGAGAGACCCTGTCTCATGGGGTGGGGGAGGGGTACTGCTTAGCAGTACAGCACTTAAAGCACTGGGTTTAACCCAGTACTGGGGGGGGGGGGGGGAGAACCAAGGAACCTTCAATCAGTCTGCGTGAAGACCTCCCAGAGGCCAGTGGTCCTGAGTGGTGGTCCAAGTGAAGGCAGAGAGGAATGACCAAGTAGATGGGATGATGTGGGCAGCAGAGGAGTCAGAGTGAAGTCCTTACCCCAAGAAATGTCCCAGAGGACTTAAACATACTATGACCTCTAACCTACCATCTAGAAAGTCAAAAGATGAGATTGCAGAATTCAGAAAGCAAAGTCATGTGCTAAGGAGCAGCATTGCAACCTTTGATGCTCCCTGTCTGTCTGCTCTCTGCCTCCGCCCCAGAGGGGGGCTCACACAGGAACTATTGGCACCACACACACAACTCCTGGTGCCACTATGGGCCAGAATGGAACAATAGATATCCTGTGCATCTAAATAGTTGGCATTAAATGCTGCTGGGCCTGGAGTACCATCCTGGCCTCAGAGATGCTGAAGGAGCCAGGAAGAACACTGCTCTGTCTGCCTCAGCACTGGCACATGCTGGTTAGAGCAGTGGGAAATAGTTACACTGAAAGGTTGTAGGAGAGAGCATAACAGCCATCCCCATTTCATCAGAGTGGCTATGACTACCCCAAGGGACCCTCGAGATTGGTCTTGTTGATTTCTTTTCCTCACAGAAGAACTGCAGAGTCATCAGACAGATGCTCACCTGAGCTATCAGCCATCCCTTCCTCCCCATCCCTGCCAGATGTGTGCAGTTGTGCCCCGGCTGCACCTTGGAGGCATTAGACTCTGACTAGAGTACGGAGAGCTTCACCTATGTAGCTATAAGGGAGCTGTCATCTGTGCTGAGATAAATCTGTTGAGTGGTATGGCTACTTTGGGGTAACCCACACTCTGTATGTAACCCTCATCCGTGCTCTGTAAATACGCCATAAACTCCACAGTTAACCAAGTTGGACTTTGGTGGCACTGTTTGGTAGATCATAAGTGCCCTTTCTAGGAGGAGGAGGCAACTGTTTGCATCTCCCCAGGAAAAGTTCACTCAGTGCTGCAAAATGTCCAAGGATAGGCTATAGCCATACCCTGCTCTGTACCCCTAAACCCCCATTGCTCACTGTTAAAATGTAGCAGGGCCTTAGGGGTGACAGGGGTGGCCGTGAGCACCAGCATCTCCAATCCCTTCAGGCCTTCCCGGCAGACCTCAGCCGCCACCTCCTGGGTAATCTCTGACACATGGTCCAGTTCTAGGACCTGCAGCCGCATGCAGTTTCTTGCTAGGAGAGGAAGAAGAGAAGCCTGATGACAAACTCCCGACCCACCTGCCCAGCACTCAGTCCCTCGCCATCACCCAGGCTGCAGCCCCTAATCTGGTGGGATTTCATAGGCAGCTTCTCACCCTTGCCTGCTTCTTACCTACCCACTCCAACCCCAAGGAAAGACTCACCAAGTGATGCCAGACCCTGTACCCCACAGCCGGCACCACCTACACCCAGGGCCCGGAGGTGGGGCCAGCAGCGTCCAATCATCTGCAGGCAACGGTTGCTGAAGCGGGTGGGCTGCTGGCTGAAGAAGGAAGAGTGAAGAGTGGTCAGGGAGGCACTGCAGTCCCAAGTGTGAGCGTCCCTGGAGGTCCCTCTCCATGCCTCGGGCAAGCACCTTGCCAACAATCCAGATGTCAGACAATAGCTCATCTCTGACTCTGCCCCTCCCCTCTTACCACATCTGGCAGCTTCAGATTCTGGAGCCAACCAGAGAGAGCTGTAGACCAGAGCCCCACCTTAGAGTCTCCATTTACCCTGCACCTGGTGGCCAGATACTCATCAGACAGCAAACGAGTGTCTGTTACAGCCCAGACAGCTGAACCAGGCCCTGGAGTTCAGGGTGACAATGAGGACAGCTCCCACCCTCACAGCAGACAGTCTATGACATACAACATTTAGCAGTCTGACTTTAATCTGTCCCTGCCACTGTGCCTTGAACTTGTAGCAACCCTGCCTCAGCCTCCCAAGGGCTAAGGTTATAGACCACACCTAGCTTTTGGTACTCTTGTTTGTTTAGTTTTTTTTTTAAAGGAGTGTCTCATGCAGCCCAGGCTGAATGACCTCAAACTCATGATACAGCTGAGGATGACCTTGAACTCCTGATCCTCTTGCTTCCACCTCCCAAGGGCCGGGATGACAGGTGTGAACCACCATGTCTGGCTCAATACCCCCTTCTTAACGCTGACAATCTCCCCAACAGCTTCCTTGTACTTTCTACATGAGATACACCGATCCACATCTTTTAGCAAGGCCTTCATGATGTTTCCCCGTCTGCCTTTCTATCATTGCTGGCTTGCCTACCCGACTCACACCAAATTTCATCCCTCGACATCCATTCAGGCAATAGTATCTGTCATCTGATATGCCCAGGGTAGCAAGGACACAGAAACGGACATTCACAGAGTCTTCCTTGAGAACCAAGTCTAGTAGGGGAGCCTGAAGTAGAAATTACTACCAAATGGATGATATTAAGGTCAGGATGGGGGGCAGTGGGGACCTAGCAGGGGACCACAATGACAGACTCCATCAGGGTATTAGAGGGCTTGGGAGGAGCTGGCACATAGGGGGATCCCTGGGAGGGTAAGAGGCAGGGCAGAGAAGCCTGGGAACCTGAGGAAGTCCCAAGAAGAGCAAGGGATGATTTGCACCCTGGGTTCGCCAACAACTGATTTGTTCTTGTTTTGAGATGGGATCTTGCTAAATTGCTCACACAGGTCTTGAATTCTCAACCTGAGCTCTGGAGTAAGCGGAGATCAGGTGTGTGACAGCACACCCAGCCGGCTCTATGTATTATTTACTGACCTTCCCCGACGGGCTTATCATAGGCCAGGCTAGTGTTGACTGCACACGTACTTGGACTTACAGTCTCCATGGACAGGACACCACTGAGCCAGTAACGGCTCTCATAATCTAAGCTGCAAAGCTAAGGTTTGAGTGGCAATGCCGGGCTGTCGGGATGGCTCAGTGGGTAAGGGCGCTTACCACCAAGTCTAATGACATGACTTTGATCTAGAGACTCACATGTGGAAGGAAAGACTGACTCTTAAGTTGTTCTCCGACCTCCACACAGATACTCGATTCCCACCCCCAAATATATAATAAAAAAATTTAAGGGCACTGCCACAAGCCAGAGAGAGAGACAGCCCAGCTCCTTATCAACACACTGATCAATGTGTGTAATCTGTCCCCAACAGCTGACTTGCTCAGTCCTCAGCTCCAGACCAGGCCCACCGCTGCTCCCTCCCGACCCACCCCCCTTGCCCGGGCTTACCAAGGATGAAGTGGTGCCACCTGGAGGGAGACAATCTCTCTGCAGCCCGCACCCAGGGCCCAGATCACCTCATGGCCGACAGGGTCCGTGGCACTCCTGCGGAAAAGCCAAAGCTCGAGTGACCCACCGTGGCGGCCTCTGTTGTCACCAAGAAGCGAGACCATGTGGTAGCTAGGGACCAAGGCATAGAAGGTGTGAGTTGTGCTTCTGGAAGGGAAGACCCACCTGTAGGTGACAGCCTGCAGGGCACGGCAGTAGCAGCTGGCCAGCCAGAGTGACCGGTCAGTGAGGATGTTGGGACAGTGGGAGATACGCAGGATCAGCAGGTTCCCACCAGCCGCCTTCAGCAGGGACTCCAGCCCTGCTTCAAGACAGCCCCTGAGGATGGGCCAAGAGGTCAGGGAGTTGCTGGTGGTCACTTCCTCATCCGGGAAGCAATCGCACTTCAACTCAGGAGCACCCACCCCACCCACCCACCCGCTGCAGGCCTCACCGGGTGCTCCGGGCATATTCCTCCTTGCTTTCCTTCTTTCCCCGCTGCCGGGGCTTCAGATTCTGTAACGTTAATGAGTGGGCCTGGGTGCACCATTGAGCCAACATCGCCAGGAACTGGGGAAGATCAAGTGATATGAACAGAGATAGACTGGACTGGCTGGAGATGGGTTAGCTCTGAGGAGGAGGCACCATGAGAGGGTAGGGAAACCAGGGCAGTGAGGGGAACAAAGACTAGACCTCTACTGCTGGTAAGAGCTGGGCTCCCAGAAGGGCAGGGGCAGGCACCTTGGAACAGACTCGGGCATTCTCAAGCAGCACCCTGGTCCAGACGGCAGGATGGCGGGCCACAAAGCGCCAGTCTCGACAGACCTCTGCAGCATGCAGCAGCGTGCGGGTATCCAGGTAGGTGAAGATACAGAAGAGGGCAGCGCGCATCTTGAGGATTTCTGGGCTGATGACCTCATTGGAGCGTGAGGGGCTACCTCTCTCCACCCGACGGCCTCGCCCACTGCCTCCCTCAGGGCGGGCTGTAGAACATGGGGGCCAAAGGAGACGGTGGGGTGTAAAAGAGCAGCTACAGGGCTGTGGGTGGGGAGCTGGGGCAAGGCAGAAGCTGCCAGGAGGGGTGAGTATGAGACCCACACTGGGGACCACCTCCCAGGGAAGACAACAGGTCCTCTGCTTTCCCCTTCTCTATAGTACCCTAAGTTTTACTAACTGGAAAAGGGTGTCTGTTGCTTTGTCACACACCCAAAACTTTTTCAGACGTGGTCTCATGTATTCCAGCCTAGCCTTGAACTCACTATGTAGCCCAGGATGACCTGGAACTTCTGATTGTCCTGCATCTGCTGCCCAAGTACTAGGATTAGAGATGTGTACCACTATGTCCAGTTTGAGGTGCTAGAGATCAAAGCCCTGGATTCTAGATGAGCATGTACTAGCTGAACTACCTCCCCAGCCCTAAACTTCCCTTTTGAGGATCACCCTGACTCTCAGCCTCTAAGCCTTCCATATAAGCACAGGGCTATTCCCCCAGGCACTTCAGAGCCCCAAATAAACGCTCGGCTCTTCTCCCCTACCCGTGATGGAATCCACCATGTACACAGACCCCCTTAAATGGAGCATCCTTGGGTCATTGCAGGCCTGGCCTGTCACACAAACCCCTGCTCCAAGCTTGAAGAGTGTTTTACAGGTAGACAAGAATAAGAGAGGTGCAGGAGCCAAGGGTCGCCACCTCCACCCTGTGTCCCCTGAGACAACCCGGCACCCCGGGGGGCTGGATTCTCTACCCACTTTCCCAGGACTTACCCGAGAGCCGGCAGCTGTTCAAGGGCCCGGCTACAGCAGGTCCAGGGCGTGGGACATCCGAGGGGCCCTCAGCCTCTGACTCAGTAGTTCGGGAGCCCACATCTGAGACGTCACCCTCCTCCCCCTCGGTGCTGTGACGGCGCGGACGGCGCTGCCAGTTCTGGATGGCCTGTCGTCGCAGGCCTGAACTACGAGGGGGCTGGGACCGCTCTGAACCACCGTTGGCGGCCTGGGCCCGCGAACCCAAGCCCCCAGGGCCACTGTCCTCCGAGGGCCCTTCCTCTGGCCGGGGCAGCTCCAGACTGTCACTGTCATAGCAGCCTGAGCTCTGGGATGCAGCTGGCACACGGCTGGAGGCCCTGGGGTGGGTGGGGGAGTGCAGAGTGAAGGCTGAGGGATACCAGATTGCCCCAACTCCCCACACTTTCCTTACCACCAGCCAAGGGGAGCCCACTGTCCTGCTTTCCAAAAGTTCCCTGAGCATGGAAAGGCAGACTGGTGACACCAGGGGGGTGGGCACAGAAGGAGACGAGCCTCTGATGGGCCAGCAGACCTTCCAGGGTGAGGGTAGGCTGTGTGGGGTGGGCCAAGGCTTACCCTGTGCTGGGAGAGGAGCCATGCCGTGAAACGGCGTATGTGCTTGGCAGAGCTGGGCCTGCGTGGTGTTCTCGCTGTAGCCCCCAGAGTGGAAGGGAAAGGAAGGATGGGCAGAGGAGGCCAGAGAAGAAGGCAATAGTCGGAGAGAGAGGAAGATGGAGAGAAGAAAAGAAGGAGAGGAGAGAGAAGAATAAAGTTGGAAAAGATGGACGAATGGACAGACAGACAGTCCAGACAGGCAGGCTCCCAAATCCCTCCCAATGCACCCACCCAGCCTCCCAGGGCCCAGCTTGTGGCTCCTAGGCTCTCATTGGCAGGAAAAAAACAGACATGGGCTTCTGAAGGCTGAGGCTATTGAAGTAGCCTTGCCACAGGGGCAGCACTCCAGCCCTGACAGAGTGGACCTCCCTCCCACTTCAGGTCTGGGGTTGCTCCTGGGGGAACAAAGGAGGCAAGCTGGGGTGGTGTGGGGGAAGGCTGTGGGGACCACAGGAGCAGGTGAGAAGCCAGGGCACGTACACACTCACCATTCTGCCTGGGCCTCTCACCCCAGGCCCTGAGGCACTGCCCCCACCTCCTCGGCCCAGGCTGGCACTGGGTGTGCTGCCACAGCTGCTGCTGATGACCTGCAGCTGGCGCTCGGCCCTGTCTGCACGCTCCAGGAGCTCCTCAATGAACTGTTGCAGCCGCAGCTTGGCACTGGCCTCCCGAGCCGCTGTCTCCTTCAGGAACTGGTCGATCTGCACCACCTCCCTGGGCCGGGAGCAGTCTCTTACCCTAGGTCCCTGGCCTGACTGCCCATTGGAGGAAAGCCTGGCAGTGGCCTAGAGTGTCTGCTCATGGTCCCATGGACAATGCCCAGCACGCAGACCCACACAATGGCAAACATACAACACAAACAGGCAGACACACAAGTCGCCACACACTCAAAACACACACAACTGGACACCCCTGTTAATACTGTAGTCAACCTGACAGAATCTAGAATCACCCAGGAGACAAACCTCTGGACACATCGGTGAGGAAGTTTCTAGATTGGGTTAACCGAGGTGTGAAGATCCACCCTAAATTTGGGTGGCACCATTCCCTGGGCTGGGTCCCAACTGAATAAAAGGTTGAAAGCATGCGGAGCAGGAGCCTCCATCTCTGTTTCCTGGCTATAGATGACCCTTGACCAGCTGCCTCCCACTCCTGAGACCACACCCTTCCTGCCATGACCCATTGTCTCCCCAAACTGTGAGCTGAAGGAAACCCTTTTTTCCTTCAAGTTGCTTTTTAAAAACGTAGTTTTACTACACGTGGCAGGAGAAATCGATCATTCAGCCACTTGTTGCTCTTGCAGAAGTCCTGAGGTTGGTTCCCAGCACCCACATACTGGCTCACAACCACCCTAACTCCATTTTCAGGGGATGTGACATCCTATTCTGACCTCTGCGGGCACCGGAGGTCATACATTCAAGCACAATACTCATACACATAAAAAAAATAGTAAAAATAAATCTAAAACAAAAATTTAATCACATCTGTGCTCCAGCACATGTGCAGAGGCTGGAGGCCAATGTGAAGGAGTCAGTTCTCTCCTTCCACCATGTGGGACCCAGCGAACAAACTGACAGCCCTTTAAACTGTACGAGGTATTTTGTCATAGCAACAAGCAAAGTAACTAAACACAACTGGTCTTCAGGGACATAGTCATGGGTATGCTCATCCTATACACAGTCACCTCCAGGCACATGTAGAGTCCCATAAGCAAAAGCAGACATCCTTCATTCCCTGTGGTCTCAATACACAGCCTCCTCACATAGTTACATGCCCAGGCATACCCTGAGAGCCTCAGGGCTATGAACACACATCCTCACTTGGTCCAATACCCAGTCCTCAGCATGTTCCTATGTATGCAATCATGCTCATTCTCAGGGCACATTCACACTCTGAAATACATTAAGAAGCATGGAGAGCCAAGCCCACCAACCCAATCAAACACACGCATGTACTCTTAGAAGTATCAAAATGCACTGAGTCACATCAACACAGACAAAAACATAAAGCATTCCTATAGTTTGCCCCAGCATCTGAGGGGTAGATAAACACGCGGCACCCTCGCAGTTACCTGCGTGTGTGTATCCTGGTATGCATTCAGCTGTTCATGCATTCGTTAAACATTTAATCCAGGTGCCGGGCGCTACTGGAGATACAGGGGAAACGTACTGAACAAAAAAAAAAGGAAATCCCTGCCTGCTTGGAACTTGGTATGACAATGAGAACAAACACAACAAATGACTCCATTTGCAGACCAGAGAAACAAGGAGGTGTCCAGAAAAGATGGCTGAGGAGGAGCAAAAGGAAAGGAAAGCTACATGTGGTGCGCGGCAATAATATCAGTATTCATGAGGCTGAGGCAGGAGTGAGAGTCTACATAGTGAGAGTCTACATCAGACACTGTGCAGATGGATCCAGGACGGTGATGAACATGAAGTTTACTGAGGACACAAAGATGGTGCTGGAGGTGGCACCCTGACCCCAGAGGGTAGGTTCGGGAACCAGAAATACAAGAAAGGGTTTCAAGAAGCCAAGAGCAAAGAATTAGAAGGTTAAGAAGCAGCAGGTTTATGGGACCTGGGAAAGATGCAATTGTGTCTGCATGCTTTTACGAAGTACAAGACGGCATGGAGAACTGGGCCAGTTCTTTGGGTAGGCTAAAGGGAAATCTGGTACAAAATTCAAGAGCTGCCTGGCCTGGCTATCGAAGGTAAAGAAACGCACGTATTCCGAGCTCCCAATTCATCACCACGACACACTCGAACCCGCTGGCACCACTATCAAGGACTCATCTTAGAACCTGTGTTCCAAAGACTGACCACATGGAGACACCCCAGGCATGGGCAGGGATTAAATGAGTAAGATCCAGAGACACCCACCCACTCGACTCCCAGGGTCTACTCACTGCTGCTTGCGGCTCAGCTCCTGTTCCTTATGCACCAGGTCCTGCTTAAGCGAGGCCAGCAGTTCCACGCTCACGTCCACCTGGCGTGAAAGCTCAGATGCGCGCTCCTCCAGCTCCTCCTTCTCGCGTCCCAGCCGTGCACTCTCCTGTCGAGCAGTCTCCAACTCTGCCGCCTTGCGCTCCAGCTCGGCCTGTAGCCGGCCCACCTGGCCGGCGATCTTCTGCTCCACCTCCTCGCTCAGCCGCTCCAGCCTCCGGTCCACCTCCAGCTTCTCCAGCGCACGGATCTTGAGGCGTGCCAAGCCCTCTTCGTAGGCGACATCGGCAGGTGATGGCGAAGCTGGCGATGCGGAGGCGGGCCCGGAACAAGGACCAGGGCCGGGCCCGGGTGGCGGCGTCGAACAGGCGGAGGATGCCACGGACTTGCGCGCGAACAACTCGCCGAGAGGGATTTCGATCTCGCGTAGTGCATAGCGCGCGGCAGGCACGAGCCCCGGCTCGGCCAGCTCCTCGCAGGGCAGGCTGGCGGGCACCAGGTCGCCAGGGAAGTGAGCCAGCGGCGCGTGGTGGTGATGATGGTGCAGCAGGTGCGGCCCCGCGGGCGCTGGCCCTGCCGCCTGCTCCTTGCCCTGGAAGGACGTGCTCTCGAAGACCTCGCGCCGGGCCCCGGGCACCGCCAGCAGGGCGGCGGGCTCAGGCGCCAGGGGGAAGCCAGAAGCTGCGGCAGCAGCCGCTGCAGCAGCGGCCGCGCCGTCGCAGATACTGTTCGTCTTGGAGAGGATGTAGAGCGTCTCGTAGGTGTGGCTGTATTCCAGGTGCGCGCGCAGTGACGACAGGCTCCGGAAGCGCTTATGCTCCCCGCAGCGCGGGCACCGGTATGGTAAGTCCAGCGAGGCCATGGCCCCGCCGCCTTCGGTGCACGCCGGCTCCACCGCGGCCGCCTCACCGGTCAGCCGGGCGCGCTCATGGGGGGCCGCGGGTGGGCCCGGCCTGCGGGATCAGGACGGCTCTGGTCACCAATAGCCAGGGCCCAGGAGGCTAGAAGAGAGAACGTGAGGCTCAGCAACCTGCTAGCCGCACCCCCACCTGCCACTCCCAGGTCCAGCAATCCTGTACCCTGGCTCTATGAATATGCCTAGGATGGAGGGCTCTGGGACCTGTGCTCTAGAGTGCGACTTCTCGCTGGAAGTGGAGGGACTACGGTCCTCCAGGTGTGGCCAGGCTGACCTCCTGCCTTTCAAGTGCTGAAATTCCTAGGGCTAGATTTGTTTTTTTCAATGTTTGTTTTGGAAGGCTGGAGAGATGGCCTCGCACTTAAGAGCACTTGTTGCTCTTGCAGAGGACCTGGGTTTGGGTCCCAGAACACACCTAATGGTTCCCAACCATTCTAATTCCAGGGAATCCGTGGCCTTCCTCTGACCTCCCGGGCACCAGGCAAACACATGGTGCACATGCAGGCAAAACACTCATACACACAAAATAAACTTTTTAAAATGTTTAAGGAATGTTTGATTTAAAAAAAAAAAGTTGCTTCCCAGTGGGGCAGGTGCCAAGAGGATGAGACCTTCAGGATTATCCTTATCTACAGAAAGAGGTACAGCTAGCCTGATCTACTTGAGACTCTGCATCATAGAAACAAACATGAATTATTATTGTTGTTGCTGAGTTCTTTGTTGATAGAGTGTTTAATACAGGATCTTAGTCCCTAGACTTGCTGGCCTGGAACTCACAGTGTAACTCAGGTTGGCTTCAGACCTTCAGGAATTCACTGAAGTGCTGGGATTACAGGGATGAGCCACTGTGCCTGGCTTAAAGGAATTTTTTTAAAAAAATTATTAAAGGAGCCAGGAGGTGGTGGTGCAGGCCATTAATCCTTGCACTCGGGAGGCTGAGGCAGGCGGATCTCTGTGAGTTCGAGGCCAGCCTGGTCTACAGAGTGAGTTCCACAACAGCCAGGGCAACACAGAGAAACCCTGTCTCAAAAAACAGAACAAAAAAAAAATTAAAGGAATAATTTTTTTTTTTTTTTTTTTTTTTTTTTTTTTTTTTTTTTTTTTGGTTTTTCGAGACAGGGTTTCTCTGTGTAGCTTTGCGCCTTTCCTGGAACTCACTTGGTAGTCCAGGCTGGCCTCGAACTCACAGAGATCCACCCGGCTCTGCCTCCCGAGTGCTGGGATTAAAGGCGTGCGCCACCACCGCCCGGCTTAAAGGAATAATTTTAATTACAATGATTCCTGACCTAGAAAAAAGTGCCAAGCACTGTTCCACAGCAGAATGGGATTCCGGTGTGGTGGCATAGATCTTTAATCCCAGCACTCAGTGGGCCAAGCCAGGTGAATTGCCAAGTGAAGATTGTTACAGAATTAAGAAGATTCCAATCAAGAAAACAGTAGAATGGAGTAATTGTATATTCATAATGGACTGCTACTCTGTAGTAAGAAAGGAACCAGTATCCATAACAACAGATGAATATGTTTAGTATTATGGGAAGGAAGCCAAACAGAACATACTGCAAGATTCCAGAGTTGGACGGCAAGAACAGACCAAACGGATGGAGACACAAGTCAGAACAGAGGCTTGTGTCTCCAGTGAATTGGGAAGGGGCAGGAAGGAACCTCGTCTGCTGTCAAGAGTGTTCTGTAGCTTAACCGGGGGTTGTGTTTCTGTATGCCGGTGTGGACACAATCATCAAGACATGTATACAAACCCTGGGGTGTTCCATGTACCCTAGCGCATGTATGTGACATCTAAGAAGGTTCTCAAGCAGATGCTTAATTTTCATCGGAGGGAGACCTCAGCCATCATGCAGGCTGAACCACTAGAAGCAAGATGCTCACCTAGCTATGATGCTGTAGGTGGCCCTGATCCTGTGCCTGCCCGTTCCAGGCACTGCCTCCAATGGGCGTTCCTGCCCTTCCCCCCAAGGGCCCTGTGATCTTTCCTCAACCATTCCTGGCAAGGAGCCCACCCATTCTTCCACCCAGTCTCCCTCGGCCCATCCTCCCACCTGTGGCTTCTTCCCCTCTTGTGACTTTTCCACTCCTCTCTCACCTACTCGCCTTCTTCAACTGCCTGAATTCAGGCTTCGTGCACCTCTGAGGACAACCCAGTTGTCATCAAGCTCTTCAGCACTTTGTCTGTCGGTGGGTGCCTAACTGTTCCATCCTCACAGGCTGCCTCGATACTGCCCAGGGTGGACGTTCCTCAGGGTTCTGTGACTTTCTGCTCTTAGTTGATTCCAGCCTCTTTGTGGGGTAATCCCCATTGCCTCTCTGTTCCCACTGACTCCTACCTTGAGGCTTCTCTCAGCTCCACCTCTCCTTCCTGAGGGGCTCCAGAGGGTCCTGCTTGCCTTGTGCCATCTCCTCAGGGATGTAGAGACCTCTCTTCCCATGGCCACCCAGTGCCTAGCTTCCTCCTCCTATCAGCACTCCGCTTGGATCTTGGGGAGCCTGCCTTCCTTTCCCACTGTTTTCAGTTCCTCCACGTGGATTGGGGCATATGATCAATTCCCCTTCTTCACTTACACTGGGTCTGTGTTCTTTGTACTGGGGGAAAATCTAACTAAGAAATGAAAGATAAAGATGGTTTCCTTTTTCAAATAATAGACCCCGTGGTAGTTAGTGGCTTTTCCCCTTTACATTTAATCCATTTATTTTGTGTGGGGTGGATGATCATGCCATGGCACACATGTGGAGGTCAGAGGTTAACCTGTGGGAGTCAGTTCTTCCTTCCACCATATGGAAGCCAGGATCAAACTCTTTACCTGCTAAGCACCTTCCCCACTGAGCCATATCCCTGGCCCTCTGATGGTCAGTGTTGTCTCCTTCACAGACTCTAGAATCATCTTGGAAATGGGCCTCTGGGGAATTTTGATTTCAGTTGTTGAGGTGGAAAAATCTGCCCACTGTGGGTGGCATCATTCTCTGACTAGGGTTGTGTGCGTACATTGAAAAAGAACTGAGCAGCAGCTTGCCTTCAATGCCCTGCTTCTTGCTTCTGCAATGAACAGCTGCTTCAGGCTCCTGCTGCCTTGACTCCCCAACCATGATGGACTGCACCTTGAACTTCAAGCTAAAATAAACCCTTTCTCCCATAAGTTATTTTTGTTAAGAGTAGTTTATTACAACATCAAGGAAAGAAATTAAGATAGGGGAGTGTAAAACAGTACCACTTCCCTCATTCCCCAGTCAAAAGTTGGTGGACACACCCCTTTAATCCCAACACTCAAAAGCAGAAGCAGCCAGATCTCTGTTGAGTTAGCGGCCAACTGGTCTACCTAGTGAGCTCCAGGTCAGCCAAGGCTACACAGTAAGACCTTGCCTCAAACTACAAAGAAACAAAAAGTTAGTGAACGCTGTCACAATAGCAAATCCACTGATTAAACTGTCATTCACAGCCCCTGGAGCTGAGGTCATGTCCCCACAAAGACTGCTACATTAGCAGAAAAATGTTAGGATATTGTTAGGTGCTATGGTCTTCCCTGTGGCCCCTTTAGTAAAGTCAAACAGGACCCACTTCAGCCAAGCTCAAAGCAGAAGGAGTAACTAGCTTGCCTGGAGAGGCCCTTCTGCCTGGGGCCAGTAATCTAATATGGCTGAGAGATAATGAAGAGCCAGTTCTTAGCTTTAAACTAAAGTGAACTCAAGCAAAGAGAGAAGGCAGGGAACTCAGAGGAAGGACAGTCGGGGGGCCTGCCTGCTCTTGACTCCTCTGGCCCTCCTGTGTCCTCTCCATGGAAACGCCCATTATAAGCAGTCTTTTGTGTGTGTTGAGGGGATGCAGCTTGAATAGGAAGGGGCCAAGGAGCTAGGGGCCTGCATTGCCCCTTGGCAGAGGCCCTGGCTGGAGCTCTCCTTCCAAGCCTGGGCTCCTACAATGAGTGGCACAAGGGAAGCTGTTGCTAAGAGACAACTCCCATTCCCCCTCCCCACCACCATCAGGGAATCCATTCCAGAATTACAACTTCCAGTGAGGTCTCTGGCTTTGGGCAAACACTCTGGATAAAGAAGGCAAACTGATGGAAAGCCCCCCCTGAGGATCAAAGCCAGGATATTGCTAGAAAAGCCTGGAAAACAAGTTGCCAACCCCTAAGACTGTGTCCTCTCCGTCCCCAAACAGGCTTTAGCCCTTCTCTCACAAACAGCCTCAGCGCTCTAAGGATGGAGACTGCAGCGTCAGAGCAGTGGGCTGGGGAGGTCAGAGAATCCTTGCTACTAGTCAAGGTGTGGGCTGTGGACTAGGTGTTTTTCCGCCCTTCCCCTCTCCAGCTGGGGAGTTATTTTGTTCTTTCAGCTTCCAGTTTTCTCTCCATCATTCTATTCTGGCCACAGACTGCAAGACCCAGAGGACTAGATTACTGCTTAATCAGACATGGCACAATATTGTACGGGGCTGGGCGTATCTCAGGATGAGGATGTGGGCTTGCTTCTTCTGGAGACAGGACAACTAGAGTGTAAGCTGGTGATGGATGACTGCATTGGGATGAACAGGAAAAACGTTCTGGATTATTCAACTGTGAAGTAGAAAGCCATGTGTGTTTAATAAACCACTCTACTGTTCTGCCACTCTGCCCTAGGTCTTGGTTAGACTCCCAATTTTCTCTTAGAGAACTGTTTCCCGCCAACTCTGAGGTAGAGCTCACCTCAGCCCCTCGCTCCAGGGAAGCACGTGTGGTCTTACTCTGTTGTCAGAGGCCTGGCCATCTGGAGAGAAATAAACACGTTTCCCATTTCTAGTTAACACAGACACCCCATGACCTGTGTGTAGCTGGCAGGCTAGGAGCCTGGGCTTCTGGTGGCCTTACTGTCTTTTCTGTGGGACAGAAGAAAAGGACTTGTGATGTCACTTGAACAGTGACACCCACATGTGCCCAAAGCTCTTGCTCAGCACACAGCTCGTGTTGACAACATGATGTCTGTGACTGCAGCTCCCGTGTGTAGAAGCATGTGTGTGACTGTAGCTCCCATGTGCCGGAGCATGTGTGTGGAGAGCAGAGCACAACTTTCAGGAGGTGGTCCTTGCCTTTCCATTTTCTT